TCCTGCAGAGCAGGAGGGGTCCCAGAGGGGGCCTTTGCAATTGGAAACTGCAGAAGGAAATGTATGTGGCTGCTGACCTGAACCAGTGGATCGAAGATCTGACAACAGGAGCCTGTTTCAAAACATATAATTGGACTCTTGGCGCTGAGGCCTTTGATTTTTCTGTTTGACCACCAGTACCACTGAGCCGAAGAAAAGTCCAACCGGCAGCAGCACATTTCTTTTCCCTTTTGATTGGTGCCACCAGCCATGATTTTGGTTGGGGAACGGTAGCTCTTTCCATCCGAAGAATGCGGTGGTGAGCAAATTGAATGCAGAAGTTTGCCGGGGAGAGGTGCCGATGGTTTTTAGGAGTAACAATCATAACGGTTTACCCCTGTTAGTAATATTTGTTACGATCTTGGCCTTTTTTTTTCTTTTTTTTTTTTTTGGTGAATTCATAAGAAAGTACAACACCGATTGCAGAAGACATGGCATTGAATGGACTTGAGAGGAGGGAGAGAGGAGAAGAAGACGAAGAAGACGAAGAAGACGAAGAAGACGAAGAAGACGAAGACGAAGACGAAGACGAAGACGAAGAAGAAGAAGAAGAAGAAGAAGAAGAAGAAGAAGAAGAAGATGCATACCAGCAAAAGACCAATGACAATTCCCCCTTCTCTTGCCAACCGGCTCCTCCTCCTTATCGCCGTCTCTCTTATTCAAACAATAAATAATAATAATAATGATGATGATGAATGGCTGAACCAGAATCGAAGTCCGAATCCCTCTTCAAGTTCTACTGCTTGGCATAACAGAGGTCCACCATAGCCATAGCCTCCCTCCTCTCTCTTCTTCATCTAGGTCGAGGCTATGGTGGACTACTAAGGGCCTAGTCCTGACGTGCAAAAGACAACGCAAACCAGCTCTGGCCGCTGCTTCTCAGGCCGCCATGCCTGACTCTGCCTTGAAGCTTTCTTCGTGCGGCGCTACCCCAACTGGGGCCTTCCAGATGCAGGGCCCAGCAAGGTGCAGAAGATGGCATCCACCATAGCCAGGTAAGTACCTCGTTACTCTCCTCCCTAGTCCCCTTCTTCCTCCTCGTCCTACTTGGGGTCTTCCTCCATAGCCAGGGAGGTCACCCAGGCGCTTCTCCTCCCAGGCAGCTCGAGAAGAGCAGCGCTCCTTCCTCCAGCGGCGCTCCTTACTCCAGTGCCCGCTCAACCAGCACGATGCCTGAACTTGCGTACTGCAAATGAGGCTGAGCCTATCGCTCGGCCTGCCTAAGTAGTGAGGCAACTTGCCTCTTGGACGGTGACTTCCAGGCTGCGCTGCCTCCAAGCAACCGGTACCTCCTCCCTTTCGGAGGGAAACATCATTACAGACGCTGATATTGCACAGGCCCTAGACTCAGGCTACTTGGACTGGTACCCACCTAGACCTAGACCTACCGCAAATGAGCGTCTAAAAATGCTAACATTTTGTCCTCTTCTGCTCCGCCTCCGGTTCCCGACACATCTACCGTTACTTGAGTGGCACCAGCCTACGTTCTACTTGAGTGTTTTCCCCCGCTACTTGAGTGTTCTTCCCACTGCAACCCTCAAAGTCACGGCCACAGGTGAGTACCGCCCCCTTGGGCCTTCCAAACAAACAAGTGCCCTGGTGGGGCACACACACACACACTCAAACCGACAAGCACTCACACAGGCACGTAGACCAGCAAGCACACACACACACACACACACACACACACACACACACACACACCTGATACACATCTAGATGTGTATAAGAGACAGCACTCAGACAGGCATGCAGGTACACACACACACACACACAGACTTGGAAAACTCAGCAGAATGCAGGAATCTCAACAAGGAATTCATTCCAGCGGTTAAAAACTCAGAAATCAGCAGAGTTCTCAGTCTGCGTTTTGGCAGGTCATTACGTATTACAGCATTTCACTATCCGTCTCATTTATCCTATCTGGGACTCGAACTCATGATCTGTAGTATGCTAACTAGGAGTAACCATCATAACCCCTGTAAGTAATACTATACTATGATCCCATTTTTATCCCTCTCGTTCATCCTCTTTGAGACTCGAACGCATGATCTGCTTACTAGCTAGCAGTAACCATCATAACCCCTATTAGTCTTTTTAAGTTATTTTATTTTATTTTTATTTTTATTATTATTATTATTATTATTATTATTATTTAAGAAACAAGCTCCATCTATTGGTGGGGAGCAGCACGTGCTGGAAACCGGGTCCAGCGTCCCATAGATACAACCATATCCTCACAAATTGGCACAAACTGGGAACCGGGCCCAGCGTCCCATAACCAGTACGTTTCATATTACATTACACTATAATCCCACTATCCGTGTCGTTCACCCTGTTTAGGGATCAAACTCGCGATCTGTTTACTAACAGTTACATGTGTCTGCCATCCAGTCCAGCGATATAGGCCAAAGTGATGCCTGAGGTTCTGCTCCTCAGGGTCTGGCAAAGCACAGTCTCAAGAGAATAGGCAGCAGCATTGCTAGACAGGCGCCCCACCCTGGTGACGAACTATCTCGGCTTTCTGACGGCGCCCCCAGGTGAGGACCTGTACTTTCTGACAGACCCCCCTGGCAAAGATCTCTACTTTCTGACAGGTTCCCCCTGGTGAGGATCTGTAAAATTTCTGACAGGGCCCCTGGGTGAGGGGTCTCTACTTTCTGACGGACCCCCCTGGGGAAGATCTCTACTTTCTCTCAGGTTCCCCCTGGTGAGGATCTTTAAAATTTCTGACAGGGCCCCCCGGTGAGGGGTCTCTACTTTCTGACAATTCCACATGGACCTGGCCAGAATCTCGACTTTGTGACAGCCTGAGGCCCACCTGGTGAATATCCTTACTCCATAGGACAGCAGGGCCTGGCCCCACTATCGGGGGCTTAGTCGTTTTCTTTTTCTTTCCCTTTCGAGCATTTTTAAACGTGGCAGCAGTGCGGCCGTAGGATGGTTCAGATCCGAGGATGGCAGGAACCGGTGGATACTTGAAAGTTGAAACCAAGTCTAAGCCCCCACTAGCGGGACTTGGCCCCAGAGGGGCGGCGTAGGCTGCGCTTCTATGTGTGGCACTCTTAACACTTATGTTCTGGAGCATGCTCCGGCCGCAACGAAACAAAAGAATTACTTCTTCTCTTTTTCTTGTCCTCCAGCATCCAAAAGAAAGAATGATTCCTTCTGGACATTAGCATGGTCCTGCCCTTTGTTTTTTTTTGTTTTTTTTTTTTTGCTGGAAATTGGGTCCAGCGTCCCAATGTAGAGATGTGCTGATATCTCCAACTACCTATGTGTGCACGTTATGTCAGATGATGGGAGACCCTATCCATCTGATCTACAGTATCTGCAAAGAAAACGTGAGGCTTTGAACCCAATCTTACCTATCAGACGGAACCCTAACCATGATGTGATGCGTATAACAATGACGTGATGTGTGTCAGCTGGAAAACGGGTCCAGCGCCCATATAGAGTGGTGTGTACTATAGCGTACCGTCAGAGACGGTCTGTATGTGTACAACAATCCATATGAGTAAACATCCAAAATGGTGTGTCTTCATTCATCGATTAATACATGTCCCCGGAAGGGAAACCCCTATCCCCTATCCTAGCATAGCACTATAGTGAGTGAGGCATCAGTGAGGCATCAGGCCCAATTCTATTGATGAACTCTATGTGAGCTGGAAACCAAGTCCAGCATCACCATACTATGATGTGTGCAGGCAGACAGTATATGTACTTGGCTCACCGGTGTCACCAGAAGAAGCAGAGGCATTGATTACTTCCCAACGCAGGGGACGGATTGACCTCCTGCTCATAAAGCTTATATCTCCTATACAATGATATGTATGGATGTGTATAGATGTCATTTTGCACATATGTTCACCAACAATAACAAGCGTAATCATCAACAATTCTTTCAACCCTAATCATCGCAGGGAGATCGTCTATCCTATCCCTACCCGGTGCCAGAAAAGAAGAGATGATTCATCATGAGAAAACACCAGGCAGGGGTGGGGGGGGAACATTAAGTCAATGACATCATACCTTCAACCTCAAACCCCACTTCCCCAGCTGCAACAAGCCACAGAATCCCCCCCACTGCACTGATGGCGGCATCTTTCCCATGATGCTGATATGGAGCACGGATGCAGAAGCATCACTCACTGCCCCGCTGCCTCCGTAGTTATCGAGTCTTCGTCGTAGCTGTTGCTATTCTTGTTGGTATTACTGTTATTGTTTTTTTTTGCTGTTGTTGCTGTTATTGTTGTTGCTGTTGTTGTTGTTGTTGTTGTTGTTGTTGTTGTTGTTGTTGTTGTTGCCGTCACTGTTGTTGTCCTTGGCATCAATCTCACCCACCTCACACTTTTCCCCCAATCCCTGCTCACCGTCGTTGTTATGGTTGTTGTTGTCAACATCCTCTCCCATCTCAACCATCTTTGTGTTTTCGCCAACTTTGTTGTTGTTGTTGTCAGCGTTCTCT